CCGGGCGCGGGGCTCAGGGGTGCAAGGGGTGACGGGAGGCAGCAGCTACACAACGGCGCTTTCCCTTCCTCTCCACCCACTCCCCCGGCTGTGAATTCCAGCGGGTCGCACTCGTATAAACGCAAATAAAATTGTAAACGGGAGCTTTTCCTTTCTCGGTCACCAGAAGGAGAAGGAAATGAGCCGACATGTCTGAGGGCGGCAAGGGGAGCTCGCTGGCCTTCGGCCAGGTGGTAATCGGGCCTCCGGGCTCCGGGAAGACGACCTACTGCCACGGCATGCAGGAGTTCATGGGCAGGATTGGGCGCAAGGTGACGGTGGTGAACCTGGACCCCGCCAACGAGGCGATGCCCTACCAGTGTGCCGTGGACGTCGCCGAGCTCGTCACCCTGCCCGACGTGATGGAGAACCTGAAGCTGGGGCCCAACGGGGGGTTGATCTACTGCATGGAGTACCTGGAGGCCAACTTCGACTGGCTGCAGGAGAAGCTGGCTGCGTTCCGGGGTCACTACTACTTGTTTGACTGCCCAGGGCAGGTGGAGCTCTACACCCACCACGACGCCCTGAAGAACGTCTTCGCGCGGTTGGCCAAGTGGAATTTCAGGGTAGGTTTGGGGCTCCGCAGGGAGCTGGGGTCGGCGCCTGGCACCCCCGCCTGCGTGTGCAAGGGGCTGGCAGCTGTACGCCGCGCGGTCAGAGCTTTTGCTCGTGGGTACCCACGGCTGTTTTCTTCACTGACCTGTTTGGCTGCGAAACAGGTGAAAGCCGTTCACGTGAAACAGCTTTATCAGGGAAGGAGAGAAATTTTGCCCCATTTTGTGCTCGGAGGGATTGGCTTGTTCAGGGCATTTAGTGCAGTGGGATTATCATGAACGCAGACATGGATTCCTTCCTCACGCGCTCTCGCTGTGCTCCGGGGTCCTCTCCGCAGACCCGGTGTGTTTTATCCGGGTGGGCGCTGTATTTCGGAGTGGGTAGGTAGATGTGTGCGCTGGGCGAGCGGGCACCCTTTGGCCCTGCGGCGTGAGGAGTTCAGGCGGCGTCTCAGGCCCTACCTGGCACTCCTGCAGCCAAGCCGAATCGCTCTGCACGTTGTGGTACGTGCTCTGTGCTTTCTTGCACAATGGAAGATGCAAATGAGGAAATGCAGGTGAGAAGCATCCCATAACCGAGCTAACTTGCTTACGTTGCATTTGGTTTGCATTTGGGCCAAACCATGAATGTGCAAACCCTGTATGGTCTGAGCAGGAAGGGCAAGTTCATTTGCTTGAGAACGTCACTGGGCATCTGCGCATTAGAAATTATTTTTATTCAAATAAAACTACGTGAAATTGTAGTTACTAAAAAAAAAAAAGGTAGTTACACGGCCGTTTTGATGCTCACCCCAGTGCTTACACCTGCCCGTGAGCTTTAAACCGGCTTTTTTTTGCTGCAGAAGCATAGCTGTGACTCAACCGCACTCAGCTGTCGAGCCCTGGCTTTGAGTAACATTGTGTAACAGGCAGTCACTTAACAGAGGTCCCGGACCACATTATTACAGCTGCACGAAACACAGGGAATCAAACTGCTCATTAATTTAATTATTAATTATTATTTCAAACCACACGACAATTGGCTCTCCCAGCAGAGCGTGGTGTGCTACAGTTACCCGGCCTGCGTGTACGCTGTGCCTGAGCTTTCCTGTGGGGAAGGTGGAAATCTGGAGGCAGTCGTGTCGTTCCGAAGGAGAGTTAACCCCAGCTCCCACCCCCCAAAAACCCGCAGGGTTCAGACAAGCGTGGAAACTCCACCTGCAAAGAAAGCAGCCCTGAGAAAAGGGAGAGTGCTTGCAGGTCTTAAGTGTCTTTCGGTAGTGCTGGTGGAGCTCAGCACCCCTATAAGCCTCCCCACAGCCCTTTCTGTGCACCAGCACCCTGGGTCCTGAACCCCCCGGGTGGTCCGTGGGTGTGAATGTGGCGATACGTACTTCTGTGTATATGTGTGCGCTCGTAGGTGAGGGTGTTTTAGATGCAGGAGCCGGAAGGCGGGCGGTAACTTTCCCTA